TTATTATTATTATTAAATAAGTGTATATCAATCCTGAGTAATTCTAACTATTATTATTTGATGAGCTAAATAACATGTAATATATATTGAAATATTTTATGTATTATATTTATTTAAATATTGTTATATCAATCCTGAGTATTCTAACTATTATATTTTTATGAGCTAAATAACCATGTAATAAATATTGATAATTTTATATATTATATTATTTAAATATGCTATATGCATTATAAGTAATCTAACTATTATTTATTTTTTATTTATTTTGGTAATGTTACTAGGTTAGTATGTAGTACATAGTGCGTTTGTTTCTTTATTCTATTCTTATTTCAAATCAAAATGTATATTTGTTTCTTTATTCTTAAAATTTTATTTAAATATCAATTATTGTAATTTTCAAATCATATCCCACTCTATTTAACAATAATATTTCAAAAATACTACTCCAAATACTAAATAAAGTGTTTGTTTCCCTATCATATTCCTATTCCAAATCAAAATACATATTTGTTTTCCTATTCTCAAAATCATATCCTAAACTATTTAGTATGCGTTTGGTTTGTTATTTTGGGTAGGATTTTAGGGATAGTATGGATAATTGAATAGGGAGTATTACGAGGAAAATTTAAAAATTTATAGAAAAACCCCCTAAGTTTTGATTTCATAAATACCCAACATGTAAATTGACAAAAATACCCACCAACCTGCAGTGCCAGATTCTGGCCACCACCGCCGGAATCTGGCCGGAAAATCTAGTTACGACACAGACGGCGGATTGTGTTGTAACGAGTCGTTATGGCCTTTCCGGCCAGATCCACCACAGATTGGCGGGAAAAGGCCAGATCTACGGCCTGCGTGGCCATCGACGGCCGAAAAAGGCCAAAACGACGGCATCTTTGGCCGTCGCTGACGGCCAAAGATATGGCCGTCGTTTTCGCGTCAACGATGGCCAAGATTTGGCCGTCGTTGACCTCAACGACGGCCATTTCTTTGGCCGTCATTCAAGGCCAGATCTGGCCTTTCGGCCAAATCCGTGGTGGATCTGGCCGAAAAGGCCAGATTGGTGAACTTCCGGCCATTTATGGTCGGCAGGGTGGCCGTTGTATAGATTTCGGCTACCACCAACGGTGGTTGCCGGAATCTGGCGAGTATGGGTTGCGGGGTGTTTTTGATAATTTTAAACTTTTTTTTAGGGTGTATTTGATGAAATAATAACCTTATGGGGTCTAAAAATAATTAAAAAAATAGGGTAATATCTTGGAATAGTAAGCAAACGTGTATTTGGAGAATAGGATCCAGAATCTAGATAAAAATAGTAAGTCAAACATGGTGTTAACTATTTTTAATTTTCAAACTTACCTCGTAATAATCACCCAATTCTATCTAACAATAATATTTAAAAAAACTACTTCAAATGACTAAACAAACGCACCAATATTGTGAATAGATATAACAAAAAAAACAACGAAGCATAAATTTAAACAAGAATAAGATAATATAATATTATACACACACACTGTGTAAAGCTCTGCAATCCATTCCCTATTATTTACATTAAGCTAATGTGTTAAGGATTATAAGTCTAGAAATGAGATTCATAAGTAATTTTTAATCCTATTATAATTAGTAGAAGTTCTCGGAATGAGCAATAGGCATTGTTTTTCTTTTTGAGTGTCGGTAATTAACAAATTGCTTCTCATTACAGTTCAAGCACTTATTTTCTTATTTTCTAGTCGGGTAGTTGAGCCCATTGAAATTCTAAAAGTCAAATTGACTTTTATTTGAAGTTGCCCCAAATTTGATTAGTTTTTTTTTTTTTTTAAATTTAATTGCGTAAGAAATACCAGAGGAATAGAAAAATATAGCCAATTGAAGTTGCCTTTAAATTTGATTTCGATTTTTTCATTAGATTTTTAGTTTGAAGAATGTAATGCTCGCAATTGAAATTACGCAAATTTGATTAGATTTTTAATTTTTTGCGTAAGAAATAGAAGAGGTATGTCCAAATCAAAGTCTAATTGTTTTGGAGAATCTAATATATTTAAGTTTATTGATGATGTGGAAGTGTCAAGTAAGTTTGCACATCATTTGGGATACTATTTTTAGGATAAGAGTTGGGAAAGGATAGTATAGTATTGTTATTTTATTTAATAACTAAAAATATTATTTTCTATTTGAATAAAAATTTAAAAAATTAAAATTTTGACAACGGTCAATCGCCAGTCAACATTTTTAGTTATTGGCTGTGGTAGAGATTAAGGAGATAGGTTAAAACAATAATTTAAGTTTTACAATATTTTTAATTATTAATATAGTAATAATAATTATTAAATTCTAAAAATAATTAAATTGTGAATCAGCTGTTTCAAAGAGAAATTGGGGAAAAAAAAAAATTTAATAGGGACAAAAAAGAATTTCAATAGTATTCCTACTCTTGGCCTAAGAGAAATATCATTTCCCCATTTTGGACTGAAGTAAACAGTGGAACGGGAGTCCACTGTCCATTCCTCACAAGTAAACATGCCTCAGGATGATAAAAGATTTGCAATAGTTGGTTACTGCAACATCATATGGGGATGAGCTCCAAGGAAATAAAATTTATGTACACATAAAATTTACAATTATTATTGATAAAATAGAGAATGAAAAATGCAGGTGATCAAAATGTACATGGGGGATGAGCTCCAAGGAAAGTCAGGAATAGTTCATTTAACTGTTTAATTGAGATCAATAATTGAGGCTTCCTTTATTGCATTGTAGAAGCAATGAAGCCTTTTTGCCTAATTTAATTTGTTAATGGCTTGAAGAAGTAAATACTATTTACAATTTTGCCATGGGAACATATTTTAAGATGTGCATTTAATTGTTTGTAAATATTTCAATTTAAGTTATTGAATTCAATGGATAAATTGAAGCATCTTAGATATTTTAATTATAGTCTAAGGAATTTTGAAACAATAAACGTCTACTATTGTTGGGTATAAAGAGCAATTATAAGGAAACATTAGAAAAATTTTGATCCTTAAAAATCTTGATTCATATGCACTAATGGTGAAGATTAATCTTCCAACTTCATTACTCGTTTTAGCAAGGAGGAACAGGTGAGATTTCAAGAATTAAATAAATATATAAACATAGTGTTATTGGGGTTGGGGTCTCTTCCTTTTTAAATTCATGTTGTGTTTTATGAAAATATTTTAAAAGTGATAGTTTATGCTATATGTATTTAGAAAATGAAAACGAATTGTTTGTTGAAAACAATATTTTAAAAATGAGAAAATAAAACATACTCAATGTAAATTATTTTTAATAGAGTTTAAACATATATAAGCATCAATTAGATGCCCATATCAACAAATCAATGGTTCTAGAACCTTCACGTACCGGTAGTGACACCATAAACATGATGTCGGTCGTCGATTGGCCAAGTTGATCGGTTTTTAAAAAGAATATTTTTACTCTTAATTAAATAGAAAATGAAAATTTTAATTTATTAACTAAAAATAGTAATATTATTTTAGGTTGACTTATAAGATTGAATTAAATTTAAATTGTTTATGGAAAAGAATTTTGGAGTTATTTTTGTCTAAATTTAATATTATGATAAATATACACATGATAATTTAAAGTTGAGGGTAATTTTGTCCAAAACACACAAAAGTTATTCCATTCCATCATTATTCATGGTTACAAGCTAAGATTGACAGCTTGGGTAAGAAATAATATTTTTTTTTTATTTGTTTTGCTTGGTTAAATTTCAAAATTAGAAAGCACACAGTAATATTCTAAGTGGGGGCTCAAAATTTAGACACAAAAGCCCAATGGACAGGCACATTCGCCAAAAATAAAGGAATGAGTAAACTTTGAATTATGTACATTATTAAAAAGATAACTTGATTTATGTTTGTATTCATAACAAAAATTATAAATATATTACATATTTACTAATTAATTAAAATTACTTATTCATATATTGGTAATAAGATTATTGTTTAATAATTCAGTTAATTGTTTAATTATATAGTGAACTATCAAATAAATGTTCGATTCTTCAAATATTTACTGAAAAATGATTTTTTTGATATTTGATTGTTTTAATTAATTATTTAAATATTTACTCTTTAATTGAAAATTTAAACATTTTTGTTTGAACATGTTACGTGTATAATGAGACTTGATTAACTTCTTAAATCAGATTTAATTTCTATTAAAATAACTTGATCTTAACTTGTGGGAGAAAAGGGCTTATTTTCCTTTAGAATATTTTCTTGAAATTAAAAAAAACGGATACAAGTTTCAAATGATACATTAAAGGAAATAGCTGTTACATTTAACAAAAACTACAAGTATTGTAAGTTGTACAAGTCATTAAAGGAAAAATAAATAAACTACTAAAATTTCACCCAATCATAAACTGACATATGTAACTAAAAATAAAAAATAAAACTTAAAAATTAGAAAAAAAATTAAAATTTTGAAATTTTGAAAATTTGAAAAAAAGCAAGCGAACTAAAAGGCTAAATTCCAAAGGTGCTGGGGCGCCGTTTGCTATTCTTTTTTGTTTTTTTGGTTTCTTAAACTTGTTGGTTTATTTCTTTTAGTTTTTTATAAAAAAATTTAAAGTATATTTAAACTGATTATTCTTTTTTCTTTTTCAAATTTTTTGTTTCCTGATTAAATTAAAATTCAAACTTGTTTTTCTTTTTTTGTTTAAATCTTTTAATTTTTCAAATTTTTTGGTTAGTTTTACTTTAAGAACTTAGATTCAAACCATTTTTTCCCTGCTTTTTGTTTATTTAATTAGTATATATAAAAAAAAAAAAAAAGTAAATTAGATTTGAACCCGTGCTTATTTTTTATTTTTGGAGTTTTTCTTTTTTTATAGTTTTTTATTTTATAAATGTATAATTAAAAAACTAATAAGAAATAAACATCTAAGGGTATCTAAGTCATTTTCTTTGGTTATAAAGTAAATCACCATTAAACGTCCATAAATTGAACAATTTGAAACTTGTAGCCGTTTTCTATCATTCATGAAAAAATTATACCTTAACTGATAAAATTCCTTTCATCTATTTAGTGCAGAGATCCTATGTACAATCATGCATAACCAATGCGACCTTAGCGAACATTCACGAAACAAGTAGCTCAACAAGCATGGAAAATGTTACACTAGAGTAAGAGAAAGCACCATTAGACTGTCAATATGTCATGTATTTTTATTAGCTCTGTAATGGTCAAGGCAGCTTGGGTTGAGATTGTGAAGAATGACTCACTGATTTTGCCTGCTTGATGTTGTTTGATTTTGTAAACCAAGTTGTGTACAGAAATTGCTTGTGCGGCCCTACATGATTGCATATCAACCTGAGCTTCTGCCTCTCCCTCATCCATCTCAACACTATTTTCATGTGGCTTTTGCCTGTCAATCCTCTCAATCCAACTTCCTGAAAAGTTAAGCAAATGTTATGGTTATAAGAAGAAGCACATTAAAAATCAAACAGTTTGACTACACTCTCACAGACCTTGACGCGTTCCCAAGTCTCAGCAACAGTGAGAGGACCATGTTCCTTGACTATGTTGAATATAACCCTTGTGATGGTCTCAGTTTGCTCCGGCGGCATATTAAGCTCTATTGGCTTCATCTTTGGCTTTGGCTTCGTTGAAAAATACCTCAGAAACATTCTGCCCCCAATTCCCCAAATCATAACATAGCACACACCTGAGAGAGACAGTAAGGAAAAAAAACCTCATAAGCTAGAACATTTGGACTCTAATTCAGCTGTCAAAGGACTAAAATACCATTAAGATTTATTGGAAAAGAATTCATGACTGTCAAATTACCAAAATACCACTAGGACTTCTTGAAAAAGAATTTGACTGTTAAAGGACCAAAATACCATTAAGACTTCTATAAAGAAAGGGTAATGCTAGAGGTACAAAGAAATTTACAAAAATTTCTTATACAAAGTGATGTGACAGGAGATGAATAAAAGAGTGAATATGATAAGTTTGACTTTTTGTATTCACTCTTTCATTCATTTTCTGTCATATCACTTTATACAAGAAATCTTTGTAAATTTCTTTTTAGTTTTATAAGAAAATTAAAAAAGAAATAAACATCTGCTTTTAAAACCAAAAAAACCTTGTTAATTTTTTTTTTTAAAGAGCTTGTTCAACAGTTAATGGGGTATCAAATCTCTATTTGACATCTTCTCTTTTTCTCGTATGAGAAATTCTATTTATCATCCTCGACTGGTAAAGCTCCTTTTAAGAAATATAAAGATCCTAACAAAATCAATGACGAGTCAAGAAATCAAAGCTGTGAATAAAGTTTCTCTTCAACAAACCCAATAAATAATTTGCTTGAATCTAAAGAGTTGAGGTCTAGCGAAGACATCTAATGAAGACTTGTTGAAATCCTCACCATAAAGAAGGTACAAGAAGTTACTCAAGCACAAATTCTCTTCTCATCATTCAATTACAAATTGTTTCTTAAAAACAATAGAGGCCAATAATGATCAATTCAAATCATTGCATATTTAGAAAATTAAACTAAACTTAGATGAATAAAATTGTAAGATATATGAAACTTAGAACCTTTCTAATGCATTAATCCATGGTACTTGATTGTGAGAATGAAAATATTTAAGTGGAGGTATAGAGATGATATAGAAGAATCAGTAGGGACTTGAAAAATTCATGCAAAATTTCAACATTAGAACGCCCCATAGTTCTTAAGAAATCAAATAACATAATACAGCCATAAATCAAGCTTATTGATCCATATCCCATTAGAGAAGATCCAAGAATTGGAATTGCAATGACTACACTTAATGCTAGATGCTCTATAGGAGTTGCATGTCCAGCTGAAGCAAAAAAAAATAAAAAATGTAAAATCATATAATTAAATTAAACAATTAATATGCAATGTCTTGAATTGATCATCAATAGCCTCAGTAGTTGAGGTCTAGCTATGACATTCTAATGAAGACTCCCATTACCAAAAGTGAAGGGAGAAGAAGGCAGGTTGTTCATTGATTTAGACATTGTTCTTGCTTGCTGATATTGGGTTGAAGTTACTGTTAGATGAAAAACTAATGGGACAAGGTCTGAAAGGTTATAAAACTGAACTGATGAATCCCAAGAAGTATTGAGAGTTTAGGAATGAAAGGAAGGCTGTAAACCTCAACAGACTAGCCTCAATAGTTTCTCCACAAATAGAACAAATTATTAAGTGGAAAAATGCGATTAAAAAAAAATAAAAAGATCATGACTATCAAAGTAACAACAACAGTGTGAATTGGAATCCTTAACTTTGATGCCAAAACAAGACTTCAGGAAGTAAACATCACATCTGCCACTTAAAGCAGCACAACGATAAAAACATCAACTACTTTTGGTCGCTAAATGCCAAATCAAAGTCCTAGAAAGTCATTTAATTATCTTTCAAACAGGAATCATCTACCAGAAAATACATCAACTACAGGTTTAATTGGGCCTCGTCTAACAGTCCTGCTCTTGTTCATGTTGATCTTCAATTCTAATAGGTTTAGATTGAATAGACTCCAACGAGAAAAGCAATCTACAAAATCGTAATTTGTCCTTGATAATATATAAAAGCACATCAGAAAATCTTCAGTAATCAGTATCCAATCACAAAAACCTTGTTGACATAGGTTCCATCCAAGAATTAAGAAAATCAAATAACTGCACTGAGCAAACCATGGTTCAAAAGTGTTCCGTATTATGGATTGACACACTTTCATCAATCATCTCAAAAAATGAATAATCTCGTAATTATCAATAGAGTGCCAAAGCTTGCACAATTGTAACAATAAGAATTTAGAAATAAATAAAAAGGAAGTTCAGAATCCACACAAAAGTGAAAATGCGGATTGAGAAACACATAGATACTTTATTGTCATGTATTTGTACTATCCCCATCATGGCAAGCAGTTTTAAAGTTCCAGGAGCTCATTCTATACATTATATCCATTTATATTCCAAGAAGGACCTGAAGCTTTATGATTCAGGATCCATCTGATTATTTTGCAAAAACGATGTATCAAGACTTGGTAACTATTTCCCATTTTCCCTTCTTTCTAGAATCAAATCGATTGTCTCCATGTCAAATTATATACTTCCAGCATCAACTGTACCCTTAAGCAGTTAAACACAACATCGCAAGTTTCGCGAATTTCACATTAATTTCCAAAATGAATGATATGCAACAACAACTTATTCAAACACATGTCATGGCATAGTGGGAAAAGGAAAGCATCCGCCAATTAGTAGTGATAAAGAGGAAACCAGAAAGCTCCAACAATTGTACATAAAACCAAGAACTAAGCAGGAACCAAGCACAAATGTTCCCCTATAACAATTTCTCTTCTAGTCAAACACTGAAAATGACCCTAATCCTTACTTCCTTAGCTTCACCCAGAAACTTGAAATTCAAAATCACAACTCAACCATCATAAGTAACCCTTTCCACAAGTGACCAAAACAGCAGAAATCAAAAACACAAACACAAACTCAAACCAAAACTAAAACAAAAACAAGTAAAAGATAATGATTGTGCTGAAGAAGCCATGATTATGTAAACTTTAACTTGATGGATAATGATTGAATAAGATACAAATTTATGAAAAAGAAAGCCATGATGCAAAATCAGTGGGCATAACAAAGAGATTCTTGATTTGAAGAAGTAAACTTTACCGTATAGAAATTCTCGACCACTTTTTGCCACTTTCTCGGACCTTTTACTCTTCCCGCTAGTTTCTTGGTGAAGGTAGAGAGACGAGGCTGAGGTGTTTGATAAAATGTTGTCAAGTGACAATTACATTTTGGACTTCCTTTTTTATTAATGGCTGTTGACGGGTGGTTATTTCCGCATTGAATTTAATTACAGTTTTTTGTTTTTATAAAAATAAAAAATATAACAAAATTTACCAAAATGCATTTAGTAGAAATGAGTCACAACGTTTACAAAAAGAGATTTTTTTTTTTTTTTTTTGGCATACAATCCTAAAAATTAGTATAAATCTAAAGCAATTAAAAATCATTTTCACAATTTTATTTTGTTTATTATGTGAAACAATTTTTAATGTTATATTTAACAGATTTTCAAATATTAAGAATACTAAGATACATACAAAATTTGAATCCTATCTTAGTTTTTGAGAATTATTTTTGGATTACAAATTACACCGACTCTTATGATTTAAAAAGAGTGGATCAATCAGTATCGGACTAAGACTTGAAAGGCCTCACTTTTTGATAAATTTTATAATGACAAATTATTCTTATATTAGACTATTAAAATTAACTTTAATTTTGTATTCGTCACAAATACTTTTGACACTCTATTATTATCTATACCTTTTTTTTTATGCTATTCAAATCATTCTTCGCAAAAAGACAATTTAATAGGGAAAAAAGATTTGTAATTGGATGTATCAGATTATAAGTAATATTAAATAGTAAAAGTTTTTAATTGGTTCACATATATATCTATTATTATGTTCTTGAGATTATTTTTAAGGAATTTTTTAGTTTTAATTTTTATTTGGCCTTTCAATTTAATTACCTCAAATTTTATCTTCAGAATAACATCCGTAGAGCTATATAACATAAGTGAATGGAATGAGATATTAACTACAACAATTAAGGAAACATATTAGACTACAGGGCGTAGCTACATTATAACATATGGGTTTAAAACTTCAACTGAACTCACTCAAATTCAAATACAATATTAGACACAATGTGCCAAAATCAAGGTGTTTAATTTTTCAAATGCTAAGACTGGGAGTGAAAATCAAATATGTGTATAGCTCTACTATATTCTACAAAATTATTTGTGTAACTTCCTAACTCTTTTGGCATATTCTATCAAATTTCTTACCATAAATCAATTGTAAGCAGGTTTAGGCTTAATTAATTAATTTTTTATAGAATTATATTCAATCTGAACATAATTTACTAGGTAAATTGATTGATTATTCAATTACATGAAGGTTTAAGCTTAGTTAACCCTATAAATTAATTAATTTTTCATAAAATTAATATAACTAAATACAATCTTAACATAATTACGAGAAAATTGATTCATTATTTAATTGTATAGAGGTTTAGCCACTTAGGCTTAGTCAACTTTGTTAATCAATTGATTTTTCATAAAATAAATATATCTATATCTAATTTTAACATAATTTAGTAAGTAAATTGATTAATTATTTAATTGTATAGAGGTTTAGGCTTAGTTAATCCTGTTAACTAATATTTTTTTCATAAAATTAATATAACTATATTCAATCTTAATATAATTTATTAGGTAAATTGATTAATTATTCACTTGTATGCATGTTTCGGCCTAGTTAATTAGTTAATTTTTCATATAATTAATATAACTATATTCAATCTTGATATAATTTACTAGGTAAATTGATTAATTAATTCATAAAGCAACATCTCCATTATAACTTATAAAATTAGTCCATTTGGGGACAAATCTCATTATCCTAAGTTCCCAACATTGATTAAGTTTAACATCATAATTAATTGATCACTTAATTAATTAAAATGATAATTTAATTTGTTTAATTTGTAAATTGTTAATGTAAGCAATCGTGTATATTCTTATATTGGTTTTATAAATTGTAATAATCTAATCAAATTTATTTTTGGGACATGTATTTCACAATACATATATTTAATTATTAGACTCCCTCATTTAAATTATTTTTTGATAAATTTAATACAAATATTCGAAAGTATTATAAAAGTAAATATTATAAATTTAGATATATTATTTAAAACTATGATATAAATTATAACTTTATAAATAATCTCGTAAAGGAAAAAAAACATAAAATTCTCAATCTAAGAACAATATGTGTGGCGCGGGGGGAAGAGGGGGGGGGGGGGGGGGGGGGGGGGGGGGGGGGGGGCGCCGGGCGGGTCTCCACGGGGGTAGGATTGACGGGGTCGGTCTGGGCAGGATTGCACAATCCCCAATCCCCTCCCCGCCCCCAAGGTGGGGTTGGGGATTTTTGAAGGACCATCCCCAACCCCATTCCCGACATTCTCGAGGATTCCCCGCCCCATTCAAGCCGAATCCCCCGTGGGACAGAGGCAAACACCCATCCCTAGTTGGTAGCGATGTAAAAACCTCGGGCCCACGCTAAACTCACTAGGGTTGAGCCCGGGTTTTTTCAAAGCCTAGGCCCATGAAAAGGCCTGGGTTTTATAAACCTGGTCGGACTTACCCAGGACCCCGCCTAAAGCTTGGGATTGGTTAATATGATTAGTTTTTTTTTTTTTTTCGAAAATTTACTTTATAAACAAGATCTGGATGTAATTTAATAAGGTCATGTCAGCCCCTCATAAATAACTTAATAAGAAACAAAGGCATTTCAGTCTAGCAGGCTGTATAGTACTAGTTTACCTAACATATTGGCGAGATGATACGAATATCATCATATTATTTCAAAAACTAATACAAAGGGATCCAAATTCTAAAATCCATAAATAATGATCACATAATAAATTTTGAGTACTCTTTTAACTCGATATATCCATGAATTTCGAGGAATAAATAACTCTTTTAACATAAGAAAACTATAAAGTAACCAATTTTAATTTAATTTTATAGTTTTGCTAAGTTAAAATAGTTTGTATATATCATAAATGATGATATATTTTGATTATTGATCAATTTCAATAAAGCGCAGAAAATAAGATATGTTTGTTGAAGACATGGAAGCATTTGGTGAAGGTATGTGTTGATGTGTGATTTTGACACCAACGACTCACAAGTATAAAACGTTAAGTTATTCTTAGAAATTGCACGTGATATGATTGATTCAAGAGTCAGGATAAGGTTAAACAATAATATTGAATGCAAAGACAGAATTATAAATAAGACAGAGAATTTTTGTAGTAGTTCGGATGCTTAAAGCGATTCCTATGTCCACTGTTTATTTTTTATATGAGAGTTTACAAGAGGTCACATATAGTGAACAACGAGTAAATGTACAATAACTGAGTATTCAAAGAGAATATCAAGTCAGTCAGTTTCTCGTAAGTTATCTTTGTTATTAATTGTTGTGAAAGTAGAGATTAGAGATCCCGAAAATGAGAGGGGGAGTCCTCTATTTATAGTAGCTGAATTCAAGGTAATTATTATAAATCTGTAAGTAGATAGGTGCCGTGCAAACCCTTCCTTGCCTCCCATTGGTTGATAACTTAGGAAATATCCTCAAATTATCTTGGGCTTGGACATGTGTGTGGTCCTCATTCACTCATAGATAAAACCTGAATCTATTGGGTTGATGACAATGATATTCTTTCTGTCCTAGGGTGACGTGGCAGCTCTTAGACGGTACAAAGCCTTTCTGAACTCTAATTAGTGCTTACTGATGTAAACTTACGTCAGTCTTGATTTTTTAGGCATAACAGTATAAAATAAAAAGTTTGAATCGTTAATTTAATTTGGTGAAATATTGGAGAATAGAAAACGAGTACTGATGGAGGCAAATTGCAAGATCAAGAGTCAGAGACCGCTGAGAGGGAAAATGAATTTGGAATTTGTATTTCAAAATCGATATAATTTACAATTTTTCATGTCAAGAGAAAACTATCCTCAACGTCTTCAGGTTTGAGTGAAAAATTTAACAACCATTTAATGCCTGAAGCCGCTGTTAGAAATGAATATAGTTACAAAAAAGCAAGACGAATATACTTAAGGAGAGTGGCGATTGAATGTAGTAATTAATGGAGTGAATCTCTGTTCATTTCTTAGATCAAATGCAGTTCGTTCGATCCTTTCTTGTCTGAATCGTAGATAAACTTGTGATGGTACAAAAGCAATCACAGTCCGAGCTACGGCGTAAACTATGATACTGGCAAGATGAATGAAAATTTGTATTTTTATCTACGATGTGGTGAGCTCTGCTTTGGCAGAGCTTTAATGCACTAGATCAAATTATTATTATTATTTTTTTCTGGTAATATCATAATCATTCTTATAATCTTATCAGACATTCAATTCATATTTCATCCCTTTGATGAATTGTATTTCTAATGTACTTTCTATTGGCCTATTTTTGCACAGGTTTGCACTTTGACCAAAAGTGAACCGAAGTGCTGAGATAGAAATAAGAGGATTGTGCTAGAATTTGATCAAATGAGATACAAATTTATCTATGGTATTCCTCTGTTTCTCCCCTGTTTTTGGCAAAATTTCTGTTTATATTCTTTTTGAGTGATTATTTTCTGAATCTACATTTTATTCCTTATATGGACTTCGATTGTATAATAATAATGTGATATTAGCCAGTTTACGTGTATCTCAATTAATCTTCGAAGTCCATTGAATACTCTATAAACTCAATAGTTCAAAGTAAGTCATAATGTGATATATGACCTAAAAGTTTGAACCTGAAAAGTCAACGAGTAGATTAAATCTTCTTGATCGTTAGCGCTAGGCCAATCCTGTGGGGTTTATTGGATGCTTGTTGTCTACTAGACTTATGAGTACCATCACTTGAGTTTTGGAAACTGCATGAAAACAACCATCATAGCCAAATAAACCTTCAACAACCATAACTCTTGATCTGTAAAATTGGAAGTCTATTTCAGGCTTCTTCATATTGGTTCGGTGAACGCGGATTCAGCTAACGACTACTCAACTAAGTCAAAATAATCAGCGTGTAAAAATGCAGAATATCAACAAAATTTTGCATGAAACTGGGGACAAAATAAATAGAGGAAAACAGAGCAGCTCATTTTACCAGTATAGTTTTAAACAGTAGTTGGAATCCGAATCATACATCTAGCAAGGTCAGTTGTTTACTGGTCAAGTTACATAATATTAGTGTTTATACATTAACCTTAAAAACAATAATCTAGCTACAAGCAACTGCAAGAAAATCATTCAGCTGACATAAGCGGAACTTAGAGACCCAAAAAGCCCTTCAGGACTAAAAAATCACGGTTATATTGGGGCCACGTCAGCTGGACTTCACGTGGCTTTTTAGTAGCCGAGAAAATGAGATGATCTGACCCCACCAAAGCCAGACCATTGGCCCACAAGTCAGCGAGTATCGTTTGCAATTGCGATAGTCGGCGTTTGGTAATAACACGCCAATTAAAATAAATAAAAAAACTCTTCTGTTTATTTCCTTCTATTTTCCCCCAAGGAAGACGAAGAACCGCCATTTCATCTCCATTGCCATGGCTTCAGGTACTGAAAATTATACCAAAAATTAAGATTCTTCTGTTGGAATACCCTAATTAAACGTTAAATGATTGATTTTCCCAACTTTTTGCGCACTTTTAACCTTTCAATACTTTGAATCGTGAAATCGTTTCTTCGAAATAAATTCAATTCGTTTTAATGCAGATTTCGCCTTGAAAGTTCCTGCCGAGCTGGAATCAGCTCGGTTGAAGACCGTACACTACTTCGTCACTAAGAGACCATGGCTCGGTACAATTATAGCTAGTGTATTCTGTTATCTTTAGTTCTCTTTCTTGTTTTTAGTTATTACATTTTTTTGTGCTTTATGAATCTTGTTATGGTATGCTATGCTCCTGATTCTCTAATTTTACCGCTTAATTTTATGTTGCCTTAGTTCTTACTGTTTTGTTTCCGGTGATTCTGTTTTAGATCTTTATGGCGTTAATGTGAGGCCGGTTGCGCCTTTTGGAAGCGTAAGTAGAAAACCCTATATTGATTCGGCATTTATACACCGTTGCTTGCCCGATGAGCTCCTTTTTGAGGTATTGCATTTTAAGAATTCATTTATTCAGTTTCAATTATCGCGAATTTTACAAGTAGATAACAAGTGATACATAATGGTTTTTATTGAATTTGACTTGATGGATGTCTTTCTGTATTATATTTGTTTTACTACTTTCCATGGGTGAAGCCTTTCAGTTATTTTAAGCAGGTGAATAGGAATGATAAATATTCATATACAGGTCTTTGCACGAATGAGTCCGTATGACATGGGAAGGGCATCTTGTGTCTGTCGAAAATGGAGGTACACAATTCGTAACCCTGTGTTTTGGCGTAATGCGTGCTTAAAGGCCTGGCAGGTAAACTTGTTAGTGGCTATGAACATTTCTTAGTTTATTATTTGTAAATTATTCAAAGCTGAAACTGGACCTCTTCTGTGAAGCGTGCTGGAGTGGTAGAAAACTATAAGTTATTGCAATCAAAATATGATGGTTCGTGGAGGAAAATGTGGCTTTTAAGACCAAGGCTCCGTATTGATGGTAAAATCTTCTTAGTTTATCTATTACAAACTGAACAAAATGTATTTCTGTAGTCATGTACTCCGATTAACCTTTAATAAGTGAGCAATGTTTATTAGTCTCTTGTGATCCGTATTTTCAAGAAACTAATTTGTTTTCTTATCTTAGGTCTCTATGTTAGTAGGAACACATATATTCGTGCAGGAATTGCTGAGTGGAAGATTACCAATCCAGTTCACATAGTATGACTCTCAATTCTGTATCAATGGCCTCATAATTTTCCTTCTACAAATTTTGGAAGTAATTTCTTTCACTAATAAGTGTAGCCTGTGGTAAACCCAAAGAAGTTTTAAGAAATGAAAACTTCAAGCACTGAGAAAAAGTAAGATCTATCAGATTGAAAGTTATAGACCATTTTGTTCTACATTGAGCATAGTTTCTACTCCCATTTGTTTTGATTAGTGTGCTATCTGGTAGCAGCTTTAAGCATTTAAACTATAGAATATCATTATTGCATATATCCTGATCTACATGCGTTTTCCCTTTTATTGGGCTGAATGTATAAGAATTTTTAAATGATGTGTAGATGGAGCATTGGTGCAAAATGTTACTCTATTTCATTGTGTTTTTTTTTGTCAGAGTTGCATAAGGCCAAAGGGAAATAGGTAATTGGGGGAGAAAAGAGTTTTGTTACATGATTATTCTTACTGATTTTTCTGTCTTGCAGGTATGCTACTTCCGATACTTGAGATTCTTTCCTTCTGGCAGATTTCTTTACAAGGTTTTAATCTAAACAAATAGTAACTGATGCAGTGTAGAAGAAATCTTGTTTGTTTTCTTTTTTTTTTTTCTTTTTAATCTGATTGCCTTGTTTTTTCTATCTTTATCTGCAATTGTTAGAATTCTTCTCAAAAGATCAAGGATGTGGTAAAATTCATGAATTTCCGTGCATCTAAAGCAGCAGACTCTGTTTTTGGTGGTCATTACACATTGTCTGATGACAAGGTTAGCCTATGCTATATGCTTGATTCCTGGCTAATATATATTTTGCAAATTTCAAATTTCCTTTTTTCAATTCTGCTTCCATTATCAGCTGACATTGATCTAATGCATGCTTTCAAGCAAACATTTTATCTTCCAGTTTATTTTCCATTGCTTGATATGTCTCTTGAAAATGCTTATGGGTACTTATTGCAGGTGGAGGCTGCTGTTTTGTACCCTGGAATGCGTCCGACGGTGTTGCGAATCCGCTTAAGGTATTATATTGGCTGGGGCCTGAACATTCTGTCTTTTAAAAGTAGTTTTACAACATTTTGGAGATTACATTGTTTCCGAGGATCTTAAACCTGGGATGGATTTGCTCTTTTAGATTACGAGGAACAACTGCTGGGGCTAACAATCGGATGGATTTACTCTCACTTGTTACAAGTGGTGTAAATGATAATGAGGTTGGTGGCCCTGATGAGGACATCCTTGGAGTGGTTGAAGGGTGGCAGGATGATGAAACTCACAACCCAGATGTGCCTGCAATCTCGCACAAGAGGGGTCTGACACCTTTTGTATTTGTTCCATTTGAAGAGGTATTGTATTTCACTTTGGATCTTACCCTCAAGCCTCAATCATTGTGGAAAATTTTCGCAGATTGCAATAAATTCCTGCTGCTTGATTCTTGAGCATTAATTAGTAAATTGACAATCATAATTTGAATTTTCATAGGCAATTGCATGAGTCAAGCTATATAGAACCCCCAAGGGCAGATCTGGTACCCCATGAAGCATAGTTTTCCCTTCACCTGTCATATGTGTAATTCAATGCTCTCATTCGTCTTTTTTCCTGGTTCTAATCCTCGTAGCAATTTGTACCAAAGCTGATGATTTAGCCTAGAAGAGAGTGTACAATCTGGTATGGAAACTCACACAATAGGCGACTCTTGGAGTGTATGTGTGAAGTCCCATGTCAGAAATTAGCGACTTAGTGAAAAATTAATATGCATATGCTACCTCAACCCAGTTGTTTATATGTTTGGAGGAATGTTGTATGGTTGAGGGATGGAGAAAAAGAGAGATTTTTGTTAATTAACCTATATAGCATAGTTATAAAAAGAAGAAGGAGGAAAAAAAAAAAAAAAGAAAAACCACTGGTGTTTTAGATCCAAATACTATTTAGCGTATTACCAAATTTATTGTTGAGCCTTTGTTTTTTTCTGATATAGGTGGAAACATCAGTTTTGAATCTGCCTGTGGAAAAGATGGATTATTTTGTACCTGGGTGATACAGCCAGCAACCAAGCACCAATTACTGTAAATATGAAATGCATCCCGAAGTAGTTGGGTTATTGTATTGTATGTGTAGATGTAAAAAGGTGATGTTGGGTTAATCAACATTTTGATTTTGAATGTTGTCGTCTGGAGAATAATGTGCTGGTGTCATTGTGTTCTTTCTTTTTCTGCAGCTGCTGTTGCTTCTTAATCTTTGTAATCGAATATAAAATATTCACTGTTCCAATTCATTCATTGATGGATGAATTGTTGAGTGATTAGTTGCTAGTGGCTACAGATTGCCGTTCTTTTCAGATATATGATACGTGATAATTGTATAATATATGTGAAGGAAATTTGGGATATCGGGATGCCGTGAAAGGGAAAACAGATGTGAGACTGGTTTTGGAAATTTGTATTTGAAAGTGCTGAGTACCCACTTTTGCCAGACACTCTAAAATCCTGCATGACACTCTGGTTTTCTAAATTTCTAATAATTACATACTTCATCCTTCCAAATATTCTGGTAAAACTCGCTTATCTCTCGCTTGGGAATGTCTATCAATTGCTGAATGAGCTTACACCTGCCTACTGGAAACTGCAATACAAGGAACTTATTTGAGAATACATGATACGAAACACATACTTTTATATTTGGTGTAATAATATTAGTGTTAGGTTATAATCAATTTAAATTAGCAATCTAATAGTATATTGTATCATACAGTGCAAATACAATACATTACAACATAATACAGTGTGATGAACCAAACATAGAGTGCAAATCTCATAGTCCAATCAAATGCTATATTTTGTTCTGTAGTGCCTGACTTTTCCAAGCTTCTACCTTCCCAAATTCATAAACCAAAAAGGGAGTGTTATGAATGTGGACATAAACCACATAGGTCGAACAACCCAGTTCACCTGGAATCTCCCCAAATAAAATGATTTAAGTCAAATAGGCGCAGCTAATTTGATTCCGCCAGCTCGGAAATGAATTTATTTATGCCACGGATTTTCATTTTTAATAACTTGAGTTCCGGCTGATCTGATCACAGAATGGTTCTTCCTGTATGAATATCCATCCAAGTTACTAGTCAAGACTCAAGGTAAGTCATGAAATCAAGAGTTACGCGTTCTCCATGTTGTTTAATATGATACCGAAATACTGGTGAAAAGTTATCCTTTAAGTTGCACCCCGAAGAATGCTCCTTATCCCCCCATTCGTTGCACTCGTAAACTTTTAGGTTTGGAGATGCTGCTCCATAATAGTACTGAACAAAATTTTTTTATAAAAAAAGAACAAATACCTTGAAGACTTGACTACACCTAAATTCAGAGACCTGAAAATGGAGCCTTTAAATCAATAATCATTGCACGTTTAGATTCCCAGGTTCATACTTAAGGGAATGATCGGACCAGCTGTTCTTGTCTTCTTAAGGCATGTAGTGCACTCATGTTTTTTATTCCTCAAAACTGGTCAAAGTGATCAATGAGATAATGAGAGATGTTGTTCACATTCAAGTGAGGGAGCATATTTTACTAAAAGGCTGTTACCCTGAACAAGCTTACATATAGATTTTAGAAAATACGACTATTTTGTGCTCCAGTATAGAGAAAGAATTTCAACACACGAAACAGTTTACCGTATTGTATTTCTATAAATTGTGAAGTAGCAGAATAAACAATAGCAGAGACAGGAAAAGCCTGAATGCCTCATAAGATATAATCTACCAGAAGTAAAATTAACCTTCATTCGTAGGAAGTCAAGAATCAGCAACTAACACAAGCCACTAAAAACAAATGTAAAGGCAAGACAACCTCTCACTCAGTAGTAAACAATTCCATTGATGCACACAGTGAAAATGCTTAAGTTGTATTCATATATTAGATTTTGGATCTTCTGAGTACACGAGAGAACTCCAAGATGGGTTCCGAGGAAGAAAAGTGTCCTGTCAAAAGTTGAAAATGCCAATTAAAAATAATCTAAAACTGAAATCCATTCAACTGGAGGAAGATAATGATGCATGTGATGGATCATTTCGTTGGAATGGAAACGATGATCATAAGCAATGTCACTTAGATGATTAAATGAAATCATCTAATAGAAGATTACCTAATAGAAGATTACTTAGCATGAGCAATTAACCAGAGAACTTTAAAGGAAACAATATGATATAACATGTCTAATTATATGACAGCGAAACAATCAATAAAAATCTAGCAACTCTATCACACAACAGAGCAAAAAGTTTTGGTAAAATAACATTTGTCTTCTGTACCAAATGTTGGGTCTTATTTCTTCAATTGCAACCGCAAACCAGCAATATGTTATTAGTAATTATGGTAACAGTGGACATATGCATGGTACAATCAACTTTAAATATGCAAAAGTGCCTTGATTATATGCAGAACTAATAAGAAGAAGAAAAATTTGAAAAAGAAATTAAGAATCCAATTTGAAGCATCTTAGCTTCAATGTGAACCCTGAAGCTTGTACTCCAACAAACGGTGTAGGGTTGTAGAAGTAGAAAACCCTTTGAATCACTTTACTATATAAGTCAAATAATTCAATACCCCCTAAATATTCATTTTCCTAAATCATAGCTGAGGCACATCTGATCTGATTTCAGAAGTGGCCAGTTTTTATAATTTCTATAAACCAATGAAAAAAGAGAACTGAAACAGAATAACAATAATTATATAATTAAGACCAAAATATCTAACAAACCCAGAAAAGAAAATTAAAGAAAGAAAGGAACATACAGAGACATAAGAGCAAGTGGGAATGATGGAGATAGAGTGTGATTTAGCGTGGTTAAAAGCAGCAACGCAGAGGTGTGAAGCGAGACCAAGGCCTCTCTTAGACGAGGGGACGTAGGTGTGGACCAAGTCCATCACCTTCCCGTTTTCTCTCAGCACGTATTGAATGTAAGCTAGTTTATCTTGGGTTTCGAACCTGTTATTGCCCTCGTTCCACACGATCTTCGGTGCCTCTTTCGCCGTCTCTGTTGTGGTTGAAGCCATCTCACTCTCTCTACCTTCTTTTCTGTATGAAATTGAGATTGAGTTTGTTTTACTTTTATTTGAATAAGTAAGGTAGGGTCTTTATTTATTATTAATTTTTGATATTCTCGTGGGTAAGAGCAAGGTTTTAAAACTCGACGGGGGTGACCCGTTCAGATGACTGGGTCACGGTTCAACTGGTTAAACTGACGGTTTAACCGGTTAATGGTTTGACAGATTTAAAATCTAACAAATATACCCTTGATAAATACCATCAGACCCTATTAGTTTGAAATCGAGCAAACACAACCCTTGGCCAAATGCAAATCGGCGATCAACTGGGAGAGCGGCGGTGACACACCAAAGAGGGTAGATCAAGTGATGGGGAGGACGAATCGGTAGCTAGGAAGTTGAGGCATTACCAGAAAAATGGCAGATCGGTGATGAAAATCAAATGGTCTCGGTGGCTTTTTTTGGTGAGATGACTGTGGATCTTCGTGAAAGACGATAAGGGAGCTTCAGAGAAGGTAGATCGATGGCTGAGGAGGCCTATTGATGTCGGAGAAGGCCGATCGACACCGAAAAATGGAAGAAAAATCACTGGTCGATAAAACATAGTGTGGCGGTGAGAGATGAAGCGTCACAATCTCGGAGAAAGTCATAAGGTGGTTTCTGACAACAAGGGAAGGTGGAAGGTTGCCAGAAAAGGGAAGGTCATTATTGATTTGCATTTGGCTAGAAGGTGTATTTGTTGGATTTGAAACCTTCAAGGACGGATACATATTAATTAACTGGCTAGGTTTTAAACTTAAAACAGTTGAAAAGATAACCTCACTCAGAGAAGGCCCCATCCTGATCCAACCGATTAAACCAATCCAGGTTTGTCAGAGTACCATTAATTTTAGAAACCATTTCTCGGAAATTATTACTGAAATTCATAGATAAACAATATTTTCGTATACGGCAGGCCAGCACTCATGACATCATTAATTGGACCGTGTTTTACACGCTCTCTTCATTATTGGTCTATAGTGAATGGAATGGTTAGTTATTTATTTTTATTCTTCATTATTGGTCTATAGTGAATGGAATGGTTAGAATTAATAAAAACTTCGTTAACACTTAAAAATAAGGGATCCGAACTCAAGATCTCTTGAGTAATATATCTAAGAATCTCTATTAAACCACTTAATCACTCAGAGATAATGGAAATTGTTAGTTATCAAACAACTCAATAAGAAAACCCATTAGTCATTAATTAGCCTGCTTAATTAAACATTAAAATTCTTTAGCACCATATGACAATGTTGTAACTTGTAACAACGAAAATTATCCGTCCTGATCGAGCTTCAACGAAATCAGTCCCATTTCCCGGAGGACTTGAAAAATGCAGGTGGGCATCAAGTTAAGCACAAAAGCCATAAAATCTTCAGCCAAACCCACTACCTAATCTCACTTGGATGTTACCCGTATTTCATAACCACATCCTGACACCATCATGGTACCATAAATATTGATAATCGTTAAAGGGAAACACATTCCACACACATATATAATGGTAAACGCGTTCATCATAAGTAGCCAGTCAAAGAAGCACCCAATTTCAACACCTCATAGAAAGCATTTGCCATCATTTATTATAAACAGAAGATCCATTAAGCTACCTAAATCTAATTCGTATCTAAACATAATATTGTTCACAAGAAGCATGGAAATGAAATCACTTTAAAAGAAAAAAGGGACATTTAACAGACATTGCTGTTGATTAGAGATAAAGTGCAACTTATATATATATGCCCTCATCAATGATACCATATGGATGTATACTTGAGAGTGCGAGACAGAGAAAGTCAAGTCAAACTGAATTTGGTTATTCCCGGTTCAATATATATTCCTCAAGTAATCAGAGTTCATAGGAAAGAAAAGTATGTCACAAAAGAGTACAATTCCATGATAGTGAACCAGATCCAGCATATACAAGAGTTTATCAACTAAACCAAATATAATTTGGAAATAGATAAAAGAAAAACACAATCTCAATCAACTTCAACTGATACAGCTGCAATTTCGAATCATACTAGATGCACATCACAAAATCACTGACTTGAACTGCTTTAATCTGCCCGAGATTGACCGGCTCGGGACGACAGGATGATCCCCACAATGAGTCCATAGAGAGCAAGAGCTTCAGCAAAAATGAGGATGAGAATCATACCCACAAACAGCTTAGGCTGCTGTGCATTAGCCCTGAAAAAACCCCAACAAGAATTCAAGAGATTCTCATCAGTATGATAAAAGCATTCAACTTAATTCAAATTAACAGCCTACAAATAAACAACCATAACCACAACTTAAACACAACTATGAAGGAACTGATATATAAAAGCAGTAAAACAAATAGTGGCCAAAATTTAAACAAAAAAGAAAAAGAAAAATCAGGCCAAATAGCCAAAGGATTTAAAGTCCCCAAGTTCAAAGAAAAATTTAATGTATTAATAATGTATATCCGACAAAAAGTTCAACATCACTATTATTTAAGAAAAGTCTATAGGACTTAAAAACGAACAGCAATAAATCAAATAAGCAATGATGGGTGTGTAAGAAAATTGGCATAGCAATCAAGAGGTCACTGCCGCAAGACAACGAATTCATCAAGTTAAATAATGGAAAGAGAAGGGCAAGTAGGGAAGTGATGAATCCCAGCAAATTTATAGTATATCCCATAATAAAAGCAACATAAAGACATAATCAAGGAAAGGTGTTTGAATCTAACATCAATTACATGTAAGATATTGCAAAATAACATGCCTAGAAAGCATAAAGCTCATTAACCTCAAGCCCTCAACAACCTAACATTCAAAAACGTACAAGTTGATCTACTTATCAGCAAGTAATTAAAACAATTTACACTTTAACCTCATCTACTAATATACTCGATTCCACTTATGTAGATAATTTCATCCCAATAAAGGTATATTTCAATCACCTTAAACACAGACAAGTTGGCTGGGTTTGGAACTAACTATGCAGAGACTACCCCAGAAAAAAGGTTTCTGATTAATTTTATAAGACTACAGGGCAAATATGACTTAATTTAGTTGGGAATATCTATAACTATCAAAATTCTAAGCAAAGTTTGGCAAATCTTGAACCAATGGATTTGCTTGTATGTCAGCCAAATCTCAGGAAACATCATTAAAACCCAACCTAATCTGTTTTGCTTCATCCAAGCCAAGAGACAAAATTGAAATTTTGGAGTTCTATTAACCCATAAACAGAACGTCTCGTAAAAAAATAGCCAAAAAAAAAAACACAAGCAAACCGACAATGCATTACCTAACTCCAGCATCACCAACAATGCCAATGGCCATCCCGGCAGATAGGCCAGCAAGCCCACAAGCAAGGCCTGACGACAAATGTGCATAGCCATCAAACAGATAATAAGATTTTGCTTTGGGGTTAATTCCCGTACTAATAATAACAGCTATAATCAATCCGTAAATCCCCAACACTCCAGCCATAACCACTGGAACAATCGATTTCATAACAAGCTCAGGTCTCATCACTCCCATTGAAGCCACTCCAACCCCACTCTTAGCCGTCCCATATGCCGCTCCCATGCCTATAAAAGCCATCCAACAACCAACAATCAACAATAAACAATTGAAAACTTAACCATTGATATGAATTCTTACAGAAAAAAATTATATATTCATAAAATTTTCCCCACAATAAACAAATTCCAGCACAAAAAATCTTGCAGGTATTACATATGTTTTCATTAAAAATAAATGAATAATTACTAATATAACCAAATTGTCCTTAATTGTCATAAATATACAACCTTCTTTCTGTTTCCGTATTAAAAAATTTCCGTCATATGCATCAATAATAAATTATAAAACAAAACAAAGATTAATTTTATTAATTAGTTAAATGCAACTATTGATCTATTTCTTTTTTCGTCTTTTTAAGAAGCAACAAATTATATTTTCGATAAACAGAATCCTGCAATATATGATTAGAAAACAAAGTATGAGAGGAATTACAAGAGAAGACGAGAGCAGCGGCGGCTCCAAGGAAGCCAAAGAAGGGAGCAGTTTCGTCGCCGCTAAAAGTCGATGACATGGTGATGATTGTGTTTGTTTGTTTGGTTACGTAGATCTGATTAGCTGGCAGCCGGTTTCGGTGATTCGTCGATCAGACAGAGTTCTCTTCCAGAATTGCGTAGAATTTTTATTTATTTTTTATTTTTTTCAACTATATTTCAGTTTTGATGGGTGAAAAGATGAGATCGGGAATCGGGGTCGGTGACAATTGATTAGAGTGGCTCACAAGTCACAAGAGTTTGTAGATATGTGGTTTTACGAGAGTGCCCTTTAGAGTGAGAGAGGGAATAACAGGCGTGATATGTTAGATCTGATATTGTGAGCCTATGACTTGGCAATTTGGCAGGTACTGATACGCTCTTATTTATTTTATTTTTATTTTTGTTTGCTTCCCAGTATTCGGGGGAGGCCTCCTGTAATTTCAAATTGTTAAGATCGATATTCGATACCATACATTATTAATTTACAACTGACAAAATACAAGCAAAAAACAATTAATATTTAAAAACATGTAAATGAATATATGGAAACCAAATTTATCATTCCAAATAATATGTTCTTTTATGTCATTTTTGGCATTTGCTCTTTTTAACCATATTAGTAAAACTTTTCTATAGTTATAATGGTAAGACTATCTAATTTTATTACTATGAGAAGATTAGTAAAACTCTTCTGATTTTATGTCTAATTTTATGGTAAAACTATCTAATTTTAGGAACTATATCTATATTAAATTATAATATTCTCATAGTAATAAAATTAGATAGTCTTACCATTATAACTATAGAAAAGTTTTACTAATATCGTTAAAAAGAGCAAATGCCAAAAATGACATAAAATTAGATAGTCTTACTAATCTTTTGAAATAGATAGATGATCATGTCTTGGAACCAACAAAGATAAGTATCATTGATAGAATTTTAAATGCAATTGATGTATAGTCAATTAATGTGAAACCACAGACAATTGCCAATGGCTTGAAGCACTACAAAATTAGAATCTCCGATGTTGATGAATTGCAAGTTACAAATGAAATGGATGAGAAAAATAGAAGAGTCATTGTAGAATTGAGTTATCAAATTCGACAATTTCACTGCACTAATCAAATGGATATTAATGTCCTCCTCAATCATTCAAATAAGCAACACATCGTGTATGCTTTGACTGAATAAGAAATCATCATTGTAATTAGAGAAGAAGAAAAAGAAAATAATTCTGAGAATGATAGTACGGAAATACAAAAAAGTTTCGTGCCATGAAATTCTAAACATGTTTGAAAAGCTAAAACTATTTTGATTTTAACAAGAAAGTGTCTATGCTAGCGAGTTATTATGTACTCGTAAATTAAAAGCATAAATCATTATCCTAAACAACTTTAGATAAATATTTTATTTCATTTTAAACCTTAATGTAACATAAAATATATATTTTTTTGTAATATACAGATCATTATTACTATGTGGAGACAACTTTCCTTAAGATAAGAATTAGAAAAATTATAATTTATTATAATGTAGAGTTTATTTTTGTTTATAACTATACCAAATTGAGTGATACGTTTACAAGTCCTAAAATATTTGTAAACATGATTAAACAAGGAATTACAAGTCCTAAAACACTTGCTAATTCGGTTGAATTGAAGAATTTCACTCCAAGTCCTAAAACACTTCGATTGTGGAAAACAGTGGAGGAAATTCGGCCCAAGCAAGTTCCAAGGAGGGAGAGAGTTCAAACATTTCGGAACAAGTCATTCCAAGCCCAAGCTCAACAAGGGAAGCTCAAGCCCACCAAGAAAGAAACCCAAGTGTTGAAGTGGTCCAATTTAGCCTAAGTTTCATTTCAAAGGGGAAGATCCACGTGAACCCTTATTGGGTCCATTTGCATAATTCTCAAGGCCCAAACTCTTATACCCTTATTAGTAGATTTAATTAAGATCATTGATCAAGTTTTGATCTAATGAAGTAAACTTATTTCAACTAGTGAGGTGGTTAAAGACATAGATCATAGAATTAGGAAATTATGTTTCTTTGCATTAAATAGACATGACCTTACTTTTTGAATGAATGGCTTGTAATATTAGTTAAGTTTAATTCCATTTTGTTGTATTTGTCAATTACTTGTTTATCATTGCATTTGTCTATATAAGGACAACTATTTCATTGTAACAATTAGTTTATGAAAATATAAGAAATTAGTTTATCTATTTGAGAGAACTTGTGTGTTATTGAGTGTACATTTTTTATCCAAGTATTGGCAAAGGGATTTGATTCAAGCTGCTGGAGTAATCTTTTAGGCTTGAAGTGCTTCTACTTGTCTTGGTTTGAATTTGCAAGTAAGTGTGCTTTAGTTCATGTTTTTAATTTGACCTAATTTCTACTTGATTTTTGGAGTGTATTGTGTTGTTGAATTGGTTGGAAATTGATCATTATCTCAAACAACTTTAGATAAATATTTTATTTCATCTTAAACATTTAATGTAACATAAAATATATTTTTTTTTTTGGTAATATACAGATAATTATTACCATATGGAGACAACTTTTCTTAAGACGGGAATTAGAAAAATTATAATTTATTACAATGGGAAGTTTAATTTTGTTTATAACTATCCCAAATTGAGACTAGAATTTTTTATGACTATGTAAAGTTTATTCTTATATAGGGTATCACTATAGAGAGGTTTTACTTTATCAATACCATATAAATGAATACATCACTTGGCAAATAATAATATCACTTAACCTAAAGTTAATATTCTGTTGCTACTCAAAGCCGATTCTGACGGTGAAAATTATTTCTAGCACCACAATTTGAACTTCCAGTCTCCTCTATACAAAAGCCTTCTCACTCCAACACCTAATTTCTCGGCGATTATCGGCCATAGCAAAGCTAGGGTCTTGTTCTTAGCTGATTTCAACTGATTTTGATGACGAATATTCAATCGGTTACCACCATTAAATCCATTAACTTCTACTCTACAAAAACCCTCTTACCGTAGCTTCTAATAACCTGTCATACGTCGGTTGAGAAAGTGAAGTGTATTTTGGGTATTAACTGAATATAAACATTGGGTGAAAAAGTGGTAATTTTGAAACTTTTTGGGTGAAAAATGTTATGAAGGCAAACCTTGGGTGGGAAAAAGTCGTTTAGTCTTATGTAAATATAATAACAAGGTGGGCAAATCACTTGCTTTGGTGGGTACCCGTTGAGCCCATTTGCCAATTTCCGCCGAAGCAAACACTTGATTTAAATTCAAATAATATAAATAAAAATGAAACTGTGCTTTTATTTAACAAGTGGCCGATTGGTGTGAAATTAGATTATTTACAAAATGTCGGTTGTGCTTTTGCGGCAAAAATATAGTAATACCTGAATCTGAAAGGTACCAAAATTATTAGTAAAATACAGGGTAAGTGCGAATCTACTTCATCATCCATGAATATTCATTTCTAATTACCATTATTGACTTTACACGTCCTTCCACCGCAATCACAACTATTTATATAATATCCTATTTTCCTACTTCATTTTCTAATTTTTCACTCTTTTTAATTCAAGTCATATGTAATTTTGTCCTTCAAACTCGTAAACTTACTACAAAATCATAAAATTTAAATAAAAAATAATATAACCTGTTGATAACTCCGTCGTAGTGTAATCTTTTAAAAATATTATTGTTTAATAAAAGACGTGAGAAAAAGGAAACACATTTGGTAGACTTGGCTTTGGCAGACAGGTCCCGTAAAAGCGCTTTTACTTCAATAGTGCGTCAAACAACTTCAACGCCAAATTCTCTTCCTTCTTTTCCCTCACCTCCCAGTTCCCACACTCGAGAACTTGCAGAGATAGAAGAAGAGCAACTCAGAAAAAATACAAACAAATGGGGGATTCTCGAGTGGAGACAATCTCGAGATTAGCACAATGGAGAATCGAAAACTTTGGACCTTGCTCTTACAAAAAATCCGACGCTTTCAAGGTCGGTATCTGGAACTGGTAAGTTGTTCACCACAGTAACATTATATATACAAGATTTTGGCTTTTTGTTTTGATATCTGGGTTTGTTTGTATAATTGAATTTTGGGATTGATTAGGCACTTGTCTGTGGAGAAAAATCGGTATCTGTATATACGTTTATTTCCGGAGCCATCCCGTTTGTCAAAAGAACAACCTCCTATTGCTAGCTTCGTTCTTCGAGTTTCTATTGCTGGCGCTAACCGCAAACCTTACATCTCTCCAGGTTTGTTTATTTATAGATTGGTATATTGTTACTGTACGTGGATGTGTGGAGGAGTTTTTGGGAGTCATAATCGTTTGATTACCTTTTTTTTTTTTCCCCCAAGTGGATGGTTAAAAGATATTGGAGAGGATAATAGGGATAATTTTCTTATCTGATCTTGTGATAAGATCACATACCCTTCAAGTTTTGTCAATGTTTAAATTGTTTGGCTTAAATTGTTTCCATATTTTTTATTTGGATGAGGTTGTGGACGTGTGTGGTTGGTTTATGTGATTCATCAGCGCTGTAGAACAAATTCAAATTTGAAAAAAGTTTTAACATGATATATGGCTTATGGCAAGTTAATTTGATATTTGCAGATTTAGCTGTTGATAGTAGATGCTATTTTGGTTTTATGTTGCAGTTCATGAGAGATTGCTTCGGACTTGTGAAGACTTTGTCTGGCCTGTTGATACTATGTTCCAGGGGCGCTTCATCATCGATGTTGATTTTCTAGACCTGAAAGTCTGTCCTCTGAATGTGAGTTCCTCTAAAATCAGTTTAGCGGTGGTGATGACGGTGTATATAAATGCATATTAGTAATTATTTTTCTGGTATTAAATGGATCATGAATCTATAAGTAATGCCTTTCACACTATTATATGTTACTACGTCATGCGTTTGAACACGGATAAGACTTCTGTTAATTAATTGTTTTCATGTCGAAACTTAGGGTGGGTTGCCCAGTTCTATATGGCCCTGTGATGGATTGATGCAACGTGTCTCATCCCAAAGCACTCTTCGATGCCTCTCCCGCATGCTTGATGAAGGCATCCATGCTGATGTTGCCATCCACGCTGCTGATGGCACTCTAAAAGCTCACAAGGCAGTTCTGGCAGCGAGTTCTCCTGTTTTCCAGAGCATGTTCCATCATAATCTCAAGGAAAAAGAATCCTCCATAATTAACATAGAAGACATGTCGGTAGAATCTTGCATGGCCCTTCTCAGTTACGTGTATGGAACCATAAAACAAGAGGATTTCTGGAAGCACAGGCTGTCACTGCTGGGGGCTGCGAACAAATACGACATTGCTGACTTAAAGGATGCTTGTGAGGATAGTCTCATGGAAGACATCAACTCAGCGAATGTCCTCGAGAGGCTGCAGGAAGCCTGGCTATACCAGTTGAACAAGTTGAAGAAAGGATGCTTGATGTATTTGTTTGACTTTGGCAAGATATACGATGTTAGGGACGAAATCAATAATTTTTTCAGGCAAGCAGACCGTGAACTGATGCTGGAGATGTTCCAAGAAGTGCTTACAGTTTGGAAACCGGTATAATTTGCCTTGTACGTTCTCTGTTTGGGATTTGGTTTCAGCCTGAGAGTTTGTATAGAATAGTGAAATCTTCTTAACTAGATATGTAATGAGTTTTTAGCTATTAACTGTGAGATTTTGAGTGTTGTAAATGATGTAAAACTTTGTTCTGGACTTGACAATTGTGTGTCATGGAATATGGATGAATGTTCTCGTCTTTTGTTTAGTCCTTCTGCAAGGAGCGCTGGAGCGCAGACTTAAGGCTGAAGAACAGAATTCCTTCACATGTTTTAGTTTGGGGTTGCCAATTTCTCAAATGGGCTGCCTAAGTATTTCTTTAAGGGTGTGTCTACTCTGGAAAGATAACTCCGATAATCAATCTTTAATTTTGGACATTCCTTTGTTTGGTTGTTGATTAATAAAAGATTTTGGTAATCTTTCAATACCAATAGTGATTACTGTGGGTTATATAGGGGGTAATAAGATTACCATCTTAGGGGGCAGTATATAAAGATTATCAGCGTAATCTTAATTTTATACCCATTTTGCCATAAATAAAATACCATTTCAGACACAATTGTCTTCCAATGTTTACCAAATAACAATCAGTCCAGACCCCTTACATTTTAGAATTTAGCTAAAACACTTAAATCACAAAAAGTTTAGAAGTTAACAAAATGCCCATAGCCACCAAAGACCACTGTCAGTTGCCAGCCACCATCGTCGGCCACTGGCAATAGTCGTCAAATTGACTCACAACTGGCGAGATCTGGTCGGCCGTGCGTCGATAAGACTGTTTTCGGCTAGATCGAAGACTGAAAACAGCCAGATCGTTATGGATTTGGTCGAAAACGGCTATAATAGATAAGTCATTTGTGGCCGTTTCCAACCAGATCCATGATGATCTGGTTGTTTTCAGCCTTCGATCTGGCCGAAAACAACCAGATTAACATGGATTTGGCTGGAAACAGCTAGATCGCCATGGATTTGGTCGTTTTCGGCCAGATCCACAGTGATCTAACTGTTTTCGGCCTTCGATCTAGTTGAAAACAGCCAAAACGATAGACAGCTAGCCTGATCTCATTGGTCTTGCACCATTTTGGTGACTGACACCGATGGCTGACAATGGTGGTCGATGGTGGTCTTAGGTGGCTGGGGGTATTTTGTTAAAATTTAAATTTTGTTGTTGGGGATGTTTTAGCTAAATTCTCAAATATAGGAGGTTAAAAGAATTTATTTAAATAATAATAATAATATTATAATGGTATTAAAAAGGAAGGATAATTTAGTAAAAGCCTTTGTCGATAATATTTTATTCTTCCTAACCAAATATCTTAATTATTTATATCCACTAATCTAACCAAACATATTAATATAACATTTCCTCGTAATCTTTTAAGATAATCTATCTCGTAATCCTACATTTTTAATAATAAAACATTCCCTGAACTAAACGCATCCTAAGAGATAATCATTTTTATCCTCCTTATTTAATTAATTTCATTTTTAGATGATAATTTATATAAACGTAAATTTAATTTTATTAATTTTATATTTTCTTTAAAAAACTCATATAAGGAAATTTAATCTTAGTCACCGTGACAAAAACAATCCTTTTTGTCTTTGAAAAGGAAATACTGTTTGTAAAATTATTTTATAAAATATATGTCAATGTGTTTTCGTAAATAGCTATTAAATACTTTCTAAATAAAGCAAATTAAAATAATGTTTAATTTTTTTTTTTAATTTATACCTAAAATGATTTCATACTTTTAGAACATTTTTTAATCTATTTTAAAATATAATAGATTCAAATTGTTTAAATAATATATTATTAAAAAAAATCCACACACGCACAAACGTATTTAAACTCCTTCCACATACTAACGCTCTCTCTCAACGTTAAAAACTACCCTCCCTCTCTCCCAGTTCTGCTCGCATCGATCTCTCGCTTCTCTGATTTTAAAAACCCTAATTTATCCAATCTCTCCCGCTCTAAAATCCTAATAATCTTAATTTTAGGTTTCCTTTTCACGGTAATTTGTCCTTTAATTGACTGATTTAAACTTTTCTCTGATCAAGGCACAACTCTTTTGTTTTAAAATCAAATTTGATGGATCACGTCTTTATTCTTATCATTATTTTGATTTGGTCATGTTCTTTAAATAATTAGAATCTGCATTGCGTACTATATGTTATTACGGTCATAAAGATTATCAGAATTGTCAAATTTTTTTTTTTTTTGAAATGATTTAAGTTGTTTGCTTGCTTTTCTCTTGTTTGTAGATTTGAATCCTGCGGGCTTGGAAATATTGTAGTGTGTTACGAGAATATATCCGAGAAGCATTGGGATACTACGTTTTCGATTTAGTTTCTTGTTGTTAGATTGATTAAAAACTATGGCATCTCCCGTGCCTCCCGGGGCACCTCGACCTGGATACACTTCACAGCGATTTCCACCTCCACCACCTAATTACAGACCTGATTTTCAAAACAATCCAAATACATTAGCCGATAATTTGAATAGTGTGAACCTAAATCAGCCTTCTTCGACGGCCAATTCTGGTCCAAGGCCTCCCCCATTTGGCCAGCCACCTCCTTTTTCCCAACAAACACCTTCTCCTGGGTTACCTGGTGTTTCCCAGCCAATGTCCCGGCCAGGCCCACCACCAGTGGCGCTTTCGAGACCTGGAGCATCTCCTTCGGGATCCTTGCCATCCACACTGCCTCAAAATATGCCTCCAGTAAGACCTACTGGTTCACTTGGTGGTCAAGCATTGCCTTCTGGTTCTAGACCAGTGCCTCCGAGGTCCTTCCCCTCTTCCTCCGGCATTCCAGTTGTCCCTCCTTCTGGTTTGCCATTGTGTAGTGGTTTCCAGTCTTTGGGGTTTTCGGATGGTGGAATGACTGCACCTATGCCGCCTCCAGGTGCTCAACCAAGTTTTGTGGCTTTTTCCCCTTTAAGAGGCTTCCAGGCTAGGCCCCCTTGGCCTGCACCACTAGGTCCAGCGAGTAATGGACCACCAGCATCGGGTGGACCCAAGTTTCCTCCAGCCAGCAATGCTCCACAACGACCTGTTGTACCTCTAACAATATTGGAATCGTCTCAGACCCCTGAGCCACCTAGCATGCGCTCTGTTTTAGGAACTCCAGCAGGTGCTCCCATGCAGTCACAATCACCGTTTTCAGCTGCTCCTCAAGGCATACCACCACCTCCAAGTTCACTCTACGAACCTCAGACATGGCCAATGCAACCTCAGCAGGTAATTATATAAAATTCAGAATAGCATTATTCTTTTATTAGTTGAGTTTTGGTTTGAGAATGTCAGCATTTGTAATTTTCTCACTTTAATTGATAATATGGATGTGGGATCCTTTGAATTGTTTTAGGTAGCTCTGCCTCCTGCAGTTCCTGGTGCTGCACAACCACCAGGAATGGTTGGAATACCTCCACCAGGACCACCACAAGAAAGTCAATTGACTACTGTATCGCCTACTGTGGGCCAAGCCGGAATTTTCTGGGGAGGGCAATCAAAGGTTGATCCTACTCAAATTCCAAGGCCCGATTCAAGTTCTCCAGTTATCATGTATGAAACCCGTCAGGGAAATCAGGCTAACCCTCCCCCGGTATATTATCTACTGATTCTTAAAAAAGGGAAAAAAGTTACTTGATTTAATCTGCTATTTGGATATATGTTCTGAAATTTTATCTTTGACTTAGCTCTTCCTTTCTTTTTTCTTTTTTCTTTTCACCTGGTTTCTTTGCTGCTGTAACTTAATTAATTTGCTTTTGTGTGAGATCCATAGTGCATTTTTTCCATTGGACGCTCTGATTCCTTATTATTTGTTTAAAGCCTGCTACAAGTGACTTCATTGCCATGGACACTGGGAATTGCAGTCCGCGTTACATGAGGTGCACGATGAATCAGGTGTTGATCAAATACTTAATATACACGGGTGATTGTTGTTTTGTGTGCTGTAATTTTTTTTAAATGATCTCATATATTGAATGTAATAAAAGAGCTATGATAGGTTCCACGTACAGCTGATCTTTAATAATATTGTAAAATTCCCTTTAATATGGGTGACTGTTATTTTGTGTGCAGTAATTAATTTCATTGAGTTCATTAATAATATTGTCATGTTCCCTTTAATATGATAGGTCCCATGTACAGCTGACCTTTTGGCAACATCAGGGATGCCGCTGGCTTTGTTGGTCCAACCATTGGCCCTTCCCCATCCATCTGAAGAGCCTGTACAGGTAATGCATGAATGCTGCCTGATTATCACTTTTGTTCAGATTAAAATCTCGGTGATTACTGCATTTGTTTGTTAATGAAATAACAATTACCTCTACCAATGCATTTCTTCTCTTTAATACAACTTTTCTTGCTTCATAGATTGTGGACTTTGGAGAAAGTGGTCCAATTCGATGCTCTCGTTGCAAGGGCTATATAAATCCTTTCATGAAGTTCATTGATCAGGGGAGGCACTTCATCTGTAACTTATGTGGTTAGTATAAATATTACTGTATTTCTATGTTGAAGTATTAAGCAATTTGCTACAAATTATTTGTTATTGGTATATGAAATCTGTGTTGCATTTGGATTTCATTTTTCTCTTCACCAATGCTTCCAATCCTGTTTTGGGAATGTCAACCCTGCTTTGTTCCTTAGTTACTGCTAATTTTCTCTTGGAAGTCATTTAATTGCCACCTGTGACTTAAGTGTTAATGAGATGGGTGCAATAACTTAGTTATTTGCTATCAAGTGTCATATATCATGATGTTGTATACTTGTCCTACATTAGTGTTGCAATTCCTGATATCCAGATAGTAACTACTCTCAAGGATTTATTTGTAATTCCTTAAAGTCAATAGTATTTAGTGTTTGTTGAATTTATAACATGTAGCTAAAATGTTTTTCCTCAGCGAAACTTGGGTTGGGGCATTTGACTTGCCATCCATGACGTAAGTGTTAATGATGTGGGTGCAATAGCTTAGTTGTTTACTATGGGTTTTTTGTAGAGGATAGTGTTGTATGCTTATCATACATTCCTGTTGCAATAACTAATGTCCAGGAGACAATTTCATGCAAGGATTTATTTATTACTCCTGAAGTCAATTTTATTGGCATTTCTGGAATTTCAAACATGTAGCTAATATCAGTTGAAGTGGTGTGCTCATGAAATTTACTTTGCAGGGTTCATTGATGAGACTCCCCGTGACTACCATTGCAATCTAGGTCCAGATGGTCGGCGTAGGGATGCTGATGAGAGACCTGAACTGTGTAAAGGAACTGTTGAATTTGTCGCTTCAAAGGAATACATGGTAAGTTAACAGGTTTCAGGTTTTAATTGTGACCTTTTTGATTGGTCATATGATTTTTCTCCTCTTATCATTTCGGACAGCACCCTTTTTGTTGGGTCCTTGCTGTCTCCAATGTCTTTCAGGACACCTACGGAAAACACTTTCTTATGTTACTTTTTGGACTTTTATGTATTTGTCCTTTTTTTTTTTTAATATGTATTCAATCAATTTGTTCTATAACCTTATCTTCCTTTTTCTTCCCCTTTTTTGTACCAGAACTTATATTTTTATTTGCTTTATTTTTTTAGTGTGTTTATATATGGTCTGTTTGTTGTATGTACGTGAGTATACATATATCTTTGAAGATAAATATTATATGTGTAAGAGAATATAAAGAACAAAATGAATTTAGATCTAAAACTGTTTGGATTTCGTCAATGGAGCACATATTGATCTTCTGTTGGTGATAGGGTCTTCAACCTGAAAACTTTTTCTTATGTGATTTGTTTTACTTATGAGAAATATAGATTATGGTCTAGATTTGCTTGCAGGATTTTGTTAGTAAAATTGCATCCTTTGGCTGATCTTTGCCTCCTCCTGTGCAAAGTGATTACTTGACATTTCTATTATTGTGAAAGGATTGAGACCTCTTATCAAAGTCTTTTAACCTTTTATTTTTTTATTTAGTTAATCACAGTAGTGATTCATTTCATTAAATGCCTCCTCTCCAGGTGCGTGATCCAATGCCAGTTGTGTATTTTTTTCTCATTGATGTATCCATGATTGCCATACGGACTGGTGCAACTGCTGCAGCTTGCAGCGCAATTAATCAAGTTATTTCTGATCTTACTGTGAGTTTCATTCCCATTACTATGATATTTTTTTTCCTGTATAGTAAGTATATTTCTGGTGCACTTTCTTTTCCTCTGCTCAATTTAATTGGTGTTCACAACTTGTGGCCATATTTCTGTTTAGATATTTCTTCCTGCACAAGCAATTGTGATGATTAATGGTTATTTTTATATGTGCAAGTTCTTTAACTGAATGTTTGTAAGGAAACCTTTTAAAAGAAGGCCTAGGGTTAACTCTTCCTCACTATTGCTAGCTACAAAAGTATGAAGAGGTTATTGTATATTTTTTAACTATGCAGACCTAATGGATAAAACAGTTTTAGGCCCAGTTTCTGTTCTACAACTAAAGTTTAATATAACTTTGCCTAAGTGGAAAATACTTTATCTGAATATGAAGTCGTGGATAATTGGCAACTTCTTGAGTTCCATTCCTTTTATTAGAACTAGAAAAGTTGACTTGTCTGCAGTCTTATCCTGAGCTTTCCTTCTTAGCTAGAATCTAAGGTATTTTTAGGACCAGAAATAAGGCTGCAATATGTTTGTCCAAAATACACTGCACATATTGTAACCAGATTTCTTGTCTACTAGAAATTATAAGGTCTGACTTTGGACCCATGTAAAAAGTAATGTACCTCTTTGATTTAATAATTGTTACTATTGTCTCATATCCCAAAGTTACTGGATATGTCTCCAAATTCGATTTATGCTGATCCTGAATTTCACTCTTATATTCAACCTGTGTTTAAACTATTGCATAACCATTGAGAAATGCTTGAGAAATAATGTAGGTAAGATAGATATTCCAGTAGAATCTTTTCTGCATAGCTGCAAATTCACTTTCTTTCTTTTCTATTTATTTCTTCATTGGATGCCTGTTACAGTCTGTTGAATTGCTGGTTGTTACATAAGTATCTTCTTTATCTTCTTTCTTGGTTCATTCTGTTGAAAATCTCTTGAATTCAACACATGGAATACTTTGGCATTGTGGTGACTGGTATCTATGATCAATTCTTTCAGGAAGGTCCTCGGACATTGGTGGGAGTAGCTACATTTGACTCCACAATTCATTTTTACAATTTAAAACGTGCATTACAGCAGGTGAACTGTTAGTTGGGCACTTTGCCTTTTTCTAGAGTTATTGGGTCATTCTCTTTTTTATTTTACAGAAAGGATACTGGATAGTTTTTTGATGAGATTAATATATGACTTTTTGTGGAGGGGGATAAGAATCCCATTCCATTACACTGAACTGCCATTTTTTTTTTTTCCTATTCTTTTAAGCACAATTCCCTTGTAGGGGAGAGGGGAAAACGGGTCTGTCAAGAAGCTCTCTTTTATTTAATATCTCTGCCCAAAAGCTGGGATTTTTTATGGTTGCAAGGACTTGTAATCTTGCTGCAGAATCACTTGAAAAATGTTTCCAACTATTTTAATTTTCCATTTGTTGTTGCAGCCATTAATGCTTATTGTTCCTGATGTAGAAGATGTTTATACCCCTCTCCAAACAGATGTTATTGTTCAGCTTTCTGAGGTAAGCTCTAGACTTTAGTCCTTTAGGGTCTATTACTAGATTAGATATATCGTCATTCGAATTTAAACAATGATGGATGGGCTTCTGTTCTTATCTTTTGAAATTCTGAATGTCTCCTAGTAACTTTGATTATTCTTTTGATAATGTAGTGTCGTCAACATTTAGAGCTGCTGTTGGAGAACATCCCAACGATGTTTGAGAACAATAAAAGTGTGGAATCAGCCTTTGGTGCAGCAATCAAGGTATGCCATTTTTGTCCAGTTATAATCCATATTCCTGGTACTTCTTGTGTGCTTGGCATATTGCAGAAGTGAATCTATTAACAGTTCCATGGCAATGGGGGTGCGATATGCTTATGAACTATATCACAGTGTGCAGCTCCATTGAATGTGATGGCACAGGCAACATGGAGGTGCACACACTTAGACACTCACCTTATGGTCCACCAATCTATTCCAAACAATGAAGTCTCGTGTGAACCAATTTTAGTTCATTTTACAAAAGTTCCTTGCAATTCCATTACTATATAGGAGCACCTCTGCTTAAAATAATATGCTTAACAGATGTATTCAGCAAAGGAGATTATCAAGGGTTTTTATGTGAGAAAACTAGTAGCTAAGAGGTAGGAAATAGTCGGACAATATGATCAAGGATTGTGAATGTGTTGGAAAGGTGGGTAGGTTTGGAAGTTTAATTAGGCAGGGCTAGACTTAAATTCTAGATTGATGTCATTTAGGTTCTTACTGGTACTTGGATGTTTGATGCTGAAAGATTTTTAGGTTTCCAAAGCTAGGAAGAGTGTTTGGCTTTTATGGTAGTTATTTATTTATTCATCATATGGATATGTTAATACCTTCTAACTTTGTTCCAAGTTCAGGCTGGCTTTTTGGCACTGAAGGGTACTGGAGGGAAGCTTCTTGTATTTCAGTCAGGCAAGCTCATAAACCTATATATATTTGTTTGACTCTAACTTGATCTTGTTGTCTAGTGCAATCAGTTGTGAATCACCCCTTCTTTATTTTGATTGGTTTTGCTCACATATATGACAAACAGAAAAGGGAAGAACAACACTTTGTCTCCAGTTTAATATATTTTGTGGAGTAGCTGCTGGTTTGTCATCAAAATTGAACTGCATCTGGCTCTTATTTTTTTATTTTTTTATTTTTGTTCAAGTTGGAACAATATGTTTATAGAGGAACCTTCATATATATTTATCACAAATGCTCATGCAAGTTTCTCATGTCTTCCACTTATCATCATTGGAAGTCTGGGAATTATCAACTAGATGATATTATTATAAAGCATACTAGTACGTTCCTGTGTGTTCTGATCATTGTAGCATTTTGCGTTCAGTCTTGCCATCAGCTGGTGTTGGAACTCTTTCTTCAAGGGAATCCGAAGCAAGAACTAATGTCTCAGTGGGGGAAAAGGTATACACATGTTCATACTTATTTCCTCTTGATGCCTGTTTCTCCTGGAGTTGTAGTACTGTGTTGACTTGCATTTTCTTTAGAAGTTGGTTGTTTTGTTCAGATAAAGGTGGGTGATTGTTCCTGTTAATGTGCAGTTGGGGAATCAGACATTTTCATTTGTTAGTGCTACTATGTATATTTTCATTTCATTGTTTCTAACCTTTTGCTAATATCCCTAAATCTACCGTTTCATTCACATATATACCCTAGGACTAAAGAATAAGACAAATGTGCTCATTTTGTTAGGACAATTACTGCATTAGAAATTTGACTTAATGCACCCTACTGGATTGTTGTTTTTCCAATACGCTTCGATATGCCTGATGGGGCTGTTTTTTCCTTTTGAATATGCTGGGTGGTTCACCCTTCCTAAAAACTCATACCTACAAAAAGGTTTTAATTTTCAGCTGCTGACTGAAGTTAATTTTCTGCATGGCCACTCGCTCACGTTTAGTGTCTATTGTGTTAGGTTAACTTTTGGCCTCATATTCTGTGTCTGTGTTGAATGAATTCCATGCTTATGATTATATTATTGTGCCACACTTCTTTCTAGACTGCTTTTCTTTTGCATTATTTGCATCTTAGTTTGTCATGGCAGGTTTAGCTTTTGCTTTCAATCCTAGGGTTTATATTAAGTTGTGCTTTGCAAATAGTCACAGTATGGTTACTATGTTCTAATGTATTTAAATCTTAAAAATAAAAAAGGGTTCCTGTTTCTTATTGTTGGAAACTATGTATATATAGTCAAGGGTATATATGTAATTGTAGTGTGTGTATATATATTTGTTAGGTTGTACTGTTGAGAGAATTAAGTCAAATAAAAATTGAAAACAAAACATGGTATCAGAGCGGGACGCATGAACCCTTAAACCCATTTCTTCGTTTCTGTTTTCCGGCAGTTGGCGATCTTCGGCGACGTCTGAACGTTTTTGTCCATGGTTTCTCTCTCTTCGGCAATGTCTACCCTTAGTATCTCTCTTTCCGGCAACGTCTGAACCTGTTCGAGGAACCCCGACTTCCTCTGTTATCTCTAGCAACATCTGGCCTTTGTTTCTCTCTTTTCGGCAACTTATGTTCTCGGTTTCTCCCTTTCCGGCAAATGCTGGTTCTGTTCCAGCAATCTCTCCTCTGGTTTCTCTCTTCTCTGTTGTTTGGTGTAGGCTGCAATCTCTCCTCTGGTTTCTCTCTTCTCTGTTGTTGTTTGGTGCGGTAAGCGTGGAGTTGTTGTGAATCCTTTTGTGTTTGCTTGGAGTTGTTGTGAATCCTTTTGGCTAGCCTCTTTCTGGTTGTTTGAGATTGGGAAGCTTTTGTGTTTGCTTGGGTTGTTCGGTGTTGAGGTTGTTGTGAATCTGTGGAGTTGGGAGTTATTTGACATTGTCAATTGCTAGACAATATGGCAGAGGACGGTAAGAAGATGGTGACTGAAATCGTCACTTCCTCCACCAAAATCACTGATCGGAAGTTATTGGAAAAAAAGAATTATATTCAATGGAAGCGGATTATCCGACGATATGTGTACATCATTGACATGGGAGACTATTTAATCGAGGATCCACTTGAGGAAACAGAAAGTGATAATAAAACTAAAAAAAAATGGCTCATGGAAGATGATAAGCTCTTCAATCAGATTCAGAACACTCTCGATTCGTCTGTGGATCATGTGATTGGTAATTGTGATACCGTCAAGGAGTTATGAGAGTATTTAGAGTTCTTGTATGTTGGTAAACAAGACCTGTCTCATGCCCATGAATTGTTATTGAAGATCTATCGAGCAAATATGCAAGAGAAGATGTTGCTTGAATATTATACAGAGATAAAACAAGCCTTTGAAGAAAAAAGGGCTATGTTTCTTGTCCCTACTGATGTGAAAAACAAGTGGTAGTGCAATGTTTTTTGGCTGGGTTGAGATTGGAATATGAGATAGTTCGTACACAACTTCTTATTAGTGAGACACTTCCCTTTCTTACGGATGTCTTTGCTCAACTTCTCGGAGTTAGTAAGGGGGAAGATCAAGGAGTTTCTAAGGACAAAGAAACCCTTAAGGATCCTAATGTAGATCATGCGGCCCTAGCTAGCATGAAGCCTAGTGATGGCAAAAGTAACAAAGGGACAAGTCATGATACTGGGAACAATTGTGGTAATGGCCCTCGTACTTGCTTTTACTGTGGTGCTGAGGGTCATGTAAAAAAGACTTGTTGGAAGCTCCATAGCAAGCCCTTGAATATGCAAGGCATTCAGAGTTTGCTCATGTTGCAACTCAAGATGGTCTCTTATCCACCCTATCACAGGTTACTATCTCTGCAGCAGAATATGCTCGCCTCACTCAGAATTGTTGCTCCCAGTCATCCATCCCATCGACTACCACTACATTAACCCAGTTAGGTAATCCTGTAGTCTGTTTGTCCACTTCTAGTAGTAACTAGGTCATTGATTCTGGTGCTACCCACCATATGACGGGCGATACATGTATTCTCTCCTCATTTACACCTTCTCCCAATTTGTCTTCTGTTACCTTAGCTAACGGGTCTATTGCACCTATTATTGGATGTGGTACTGCCTATCTCAAGAAATCTATGTCTCTCTCCTCTGTCTTGTGCATTCCTTAGTTTCCCTTTAACCTATTATCTGTTAGTTAAATTACTAATGCATTGAATTGTGGTGTTTACTTTTTTCCTACTCATTGTATATTTCAAGATCTTGGGACGAGACAGATTATTGGTAGGGGCCGTGTATCAGGTGGCTTGTATATGCTCGATGATGTCTCCACTCCTGTCCCTCAACCTGTTACGTGTACCAGTGATTCATCTCTACCCATATTACATAGTCGCCTTGGTCATCCTCCCCTTCCCATTTTGAAAAGGTTGTGTCCTAGTGTAGGGTCAACATCACACCTTGAGTGTGAGGCGTGTCAGTTTGGAAAACACCAGAGTGTCCTATAGCCCTAGGATAAACAAAAGAGCCACAACCCCTTTTGATGTTATACACTGTGATGTTTGGGGTCTTTGCCCTGTGTTGTCTAAGTCTGGATATCGATACTTTATTATTATTGTGGATGATTTCTCACGTGTGACTTGGTTGTACTTTATGAAAAATCGTTCTGAATTGTTCTCCATATTTTATACCTTTTATGCTGAAATACAAAATCAACTTATTTCATCTATTAAAATTCTCAGAAGTGATAATGCCAAAGAATACTTTTCTGCACCTTTCTCCTCCTTTCTGTCTACTAGAGGTATTATTCATCAATCATCATGTGTTTATACACCTCAGCAAAATGGAGTTGAACGAAAAAATCGTCATTCATTAGAAGTCACTCGTACTCTCATCTTTCACATGAAAGTCTCTACAGAATTTTGGCAGATGCTATCTCTATTGCATGTCATTTGATTAATCGCATGCCTTCTTCTGTTTTGGGTGGTCAAATCCCGTACTCCATCCTTTTTTCATCATAGCCTTTATTCTCTCTTCCTCCTAAAGTGTTTGGGTCACATGCTTTGTTCAAGATGTTAGACCTCATGTATCTAAATTTGAACCTAGATCCCTCAAGTGCATATTCTTAGGTTATTCCTGATATCAGAAGGGTTATCGTTGCTTTTCTCCTATCCTAGGTAAGTACCTTGTCTCAGTTGATGTTTCCTTTTTTGAAACCATTCCATATGTTGAGTCCTCCATTCCATCTACTTCTCTTAAAGCACCCCCTGATGATCTTCTTGTTTACAACATTACCCATCATAGTCCTCTACCATCTCGTCCTCCTATCACCCAAGTATACTCTCGCAGGGTTCACCAGCACCATGAGACACCTGCATCAACATTTGATCCATTGCCTCTATCGACTGCCTCGCCCTCGGATCCAGTTCGTCCTACCTCTGACCATGATCTTCCCATTGCTCTTCGTAAAGGTAAGTGCTCTTGTATCTATCATATCTCCTCATTTGTTTCCTATCACTCTTTGTCTTCATCTTCCAAGTCTTTTATTGCCTCTTTAGTCTCTGTGTCTGTGCCTAACTTTGTGTCTGAAGCAATTACTCATGATGGGTGGCGAAGGGCTATGGAAGAAGAGATGTTGGCTCTAGAACATAATGATATATGGGTTCTAATGGATTTGCCTCAAAATAAAAAGGTCATTGGGTGCAATTGAGTTTTCACAGTGAAGGCTAATTCCGATGGGATTGTGGCTCGGTTGGTTGCTAAGGGTTATGCCCAGACGTATGGTATTGATTATTCTGAGGCATTCTCCCCAATGGCTGAAACGACCTCTGTTCGACTATTCATCTCACTTGCAACTTCATATTATTGGCTTCTTCACCAACTTAATGTAAAAAAATGTCTTTTTACATGGTGATTTTCTTGAAGAGGTTTACATGGAGCAACCTCCGGGGTTTGTTGGTCAGGGGGAGTTAGGAAAGGTATGCAAACTGAGGAAACCTTTATATGACTTAAAGCAATCTCCACGGGCTTGGTTTGGGAGGTTTAGCGAAGTGGTGACTCAGTTTGGTTTACATAGGAGTGCTTATGATCATTCTATCTTTTATAAGCAATCTAGTTCTAGCATCATTCTTTTGGTTGTTTATGTTGATGACATTGNAAGTATTCTCCCCTATCATTGGAACAAACGAATTTTATTGGAATACCAAACTGAGTAGTTACCATTTGATGAAACAAGCGAAAAACCGAGCAGACATCACTCTTATGTTTTAATTGATAAACCCAAGTCATTCGAGTGCAATCATCAACAAAAGTTACAAACCACCTCATCCCATTAAGAGTAGAAATTGGTGTCGGTCCCCAAACATCCAAATGAATTAATGAAAAAGGTATATTTGCTTTATTATCACTTAAATGGAAAATAGTACGATGACTTTTTTCCATTACACAAGTTTCAGAACTAAAATCCGAAAAATGACCTCCTCTAAACAAAGAGGGAAATAATCTCCTTAGATAGCTAAAAGAGGGATGTCCTAGTCTCTTATGCTACAACCAAATTTACTCTTTTTTCTTATTCATCAAATCTTCCCTTAGCAAGTGAGCTTGCCGTTCTCTGTTGGAATGTTGGAACCCATCCTCCAGATAATACAATCCTCTGTTTTGTCTATCATAGCCAATCTTCTCCTTGGTATGGATGTCTTAAAAAACACAATGAGTAGGAAAAAATAGAGCAATACAATTATGAGATTTGGTTAATTGATTAATAGAGAGAAGGTTATAGTTTAATGATGGCACAAATAAGACATCTTTGATAGCTAAGGTGGGGGATAACGGGACTGTACCAACTCCAATAACTGAAGATGATACGCCATTGGCATTGGCAATGGTAGTTTTGGAACATTTAGGGGATAAGTAACTAAACCTATAACGATCACATGTCATACGGTCTGTTGCACCAAAGTCAATTATCCAATCACTATTTTGTCGAACCGGTCATCATGGCCAAAAATTAAACCTAAATACCATAGTTAGTGGTAAGCAGGGTCGAATCCACAGAGAGCAAGACTAATGACCTAATGTATATTTGAGTTAACGAAAGAGAACTTGGCAAATTGATTGATTAAAACTAAAGAAACTAATTAATTGCAGGAAAATTAAAAGCATCAAATAAATTGCTAACTAAAACACAGTATTAAAAGCGTTGCTGTTACAGATTCGGTTTGACTCAAGACCAACTCTCACAATTCCTCTCCTCGCTCTTCAATTTCCTAAACCTACAAGGCTAGGCAAATCAATAAAAACATCTCTTGGCAATCTAGGTATAATCTATCTTGTCTCCCCATCGTCTTAGTTATAGATCGATTGGTTAAAGACTATCATCGACTAACCGAAAAATGCTAAACCCTTAAACACCACTAGTTGGTACAACGTTGACAAGTACAACCTATCAACTTGTATCATCCAATCAACTAAATACATAACAAATGCATTCCTAGTAGAAATGATATTAAACGCTAATACATCTTGATTGCACAGTATCGAAGCAATCTAAAGTCATAATCAACATTAAATAATCTCAAACCAACATTCAATTATGCGAAAAGTTATATGTCAACAAACGTTTTCAATGGACATTATCAATTCAGCACGTCAAGCATCAGAATAATATTAAAGCATCACAAACAAACTGAAACGAAAACAAATATCATCTGAATACAAGAAACTTAACCAAATATCCAACATTCAGGCTCATCTAACTAGTCAAGAATTGCCAATAAGATCCATGAGTGTCAATCCTGATCTCCCTACACCGTAACAGGCAACTAGGAGCTCAGCCGCTCATGGTGGTGTCGACAAAGGCTGGAATGGTGGAAACAAAGCTGGTCATGGTGAAGAGAAAGTAACCGACAATAAGATGATGTGAAGAAGGAGCAAAAACAACCAACAGATAGCCCGAAAT